GAGATACACGGTCTCCAACAGAAATGTAGGATTTCCTACTATGTGTCTGGAACGAGGACAAGATTGAGGCAAAATTTATTTGCAGTCTGGATCTAGACAGGAACTGCCATTTTGTAGTCCTTAAATGACCCTGTCCTGGAATGTTACAGCTGTAGGTAAAACCCATCAATTTACAACCTCCTCCGTTTTTGATTTCTTAGAACTTGCTCAACTGGGGACATAAATTTTCACCTCAGATGCTTTTGATAGAGTAGCTACAATTTAGATCAACTGTATTTTCCAATAAGACATGGAGAAAGACTTTTCCTTTCTGCCTTCAAAAGCATGAAGAATTTTTTAAGTGCCTTTTGGTATGTATAGTGTTTATTAAGTTCTACAAGAAAATTACATTTATGTAAATAAAATACTAAAACAATGAAAATATAATAATTCACTAAGACACTAAAGAAACCTCTGCATATCTGTTCAACTATGTCACTATTATGCTGAAGAGCCAACAGCTGCCTTTCATTTGCTGGCAGTATCACTAAAGAACGTAAGACTGGTGATTAACTCAGTCTCAACTGATTTCACAAACATGGCAGTTCTGATCTTAAATAATTTAGTAAATATGCATGTAATTTTATTGATTCAGTCAACATAATGAACTGCAGTTTAAGATCCTTTATTGCTTACAGACAAACCAAGCTATACATTCACCAGCTATCTGAAGGAGACTTGAAAATCAGTGAGATAACCACTTAGTTTTCTCAAAAACAATCAGAAATGTCTATTAAAAAATCAGTATGTTATTTGTAATTATTTTCCTAGTAGACATGAGATTAGATAATTTTCATGGTGCTAGGAAAAAAAAGATAGATATTGTATGCTTTAAATTTCATATTTCTAGAGGAGAACATTAGATTACTAAATATTTCAGAAGCTTTTTATTTTTAGCCATTAGTTTGTATGTCTTTAAACCTGGACAGAAAAGCAGACATCCTTTATTTTTATAGCTGTTAGGAACTAGTAAACTCATTTACTCATAGTGACTTACATTTACAACTGATAGCAGAAATACAGGCTCACCCTACACAGAGGCACACAGACTAGCAAATTTCCATGGCTATTGTTTTGGGAAAAGATCCCGTCTATCTGAGCTTGCAAACACCAGTAACCCTTTCTAAGAAAACTGAAGAGGCTACAACCTCAGGTGCAGACCCCTTTCTACTGAAGCCTAATACCCTGTTAGGCAAGCACAGCAGAACAGCTGCTCAGCCCTGGTGGTTCACAGCCTATGGGTTAGCAGAGACCTCATTGATTCAGATTACTGTTCCTCCATGGGATGCAGAGCAATTGCACAGCCAGGGCTGTTACCTCTACATTGGAGAAGTCATATGATATTGCTCTGGGCAGTTATGGTTGGTGCTTGCTGTATTGCCTGGCACTAAGTCATCATCCAGGGCATTGGGGAAAGAAAACAGCTGAAAGACTGATAACCAAGAGAAATAATTCACATTAAGTAGGGAAACACAAGTAGCGTAGTGCAAGGAGAAACTTATTGGGCTAAAAGTTAACCAGAAGACTTTTGGAAGTACAATAAAAAACCTATTTTTCTTGTTAATTCTCCCTCTGTTCAGGCAAACAGGAGTTTCCACATAGGCATTATTGTTTCGAAGGAGCATGGCTTCATCTCCATGTATTTATACAGAAAAGGCAGTGAAATAAAGACTCCAGGGCTCCAAATTTTGGCTAAGCATTTAGGTTTAAAAAAATTAAATATTTTGATTGACATAGACTTATCTTTTTCTCCAGGTAAATAAAACTCTGGCATAAACATTGTATTTGAAAAAAGCTAAACTAGCATTAGAAATCTGTGTAAAGCCAATTGAGATCTTGAAGCGAAGAAATGTAGTAGCTGTGCATTTTGTTTTAAAACTACTTTCTTTGAGATTTCTTACTTTTAAAAGTATTTATGTACATATCTACCAAATGTGTGCCAATACATAATTCAGGAATTTCACTTAATGTATAAAGGATTCAAGGTCTATATAATGTTATAAGAAACCAGTCTGGAGCTATAGTTAGTAGAAGTGGTCTGGAAATTGTATGGAATATTAAGTTAGAAAAACAACAGCAAACCTTAGAAAAAGCATATTTTACTCTAAAAGACCATTACCAGTAACATTCCTGAGTATTAATTTTCTGGTAACATTGGACTGTTCTTTCAAATTATGGTGTGATGTATTAAGAAAAACTAAACTTTGTGCTGGTCATGCTTAATATACTGAGCTGAAATCTGTAATAGTGCGGCACCTTGCAAAGGAGCTGAACTTTTCTTCCAGTGGGAGCACCAGCTCCTGAGAGAGGCTTGAGAGGTGCCCAAGAAAAGTCATCTTCTCCTGGCTACAGTGGTTCACTGAATAAATCCCCTGCTGAAAAAAACCCCAAAAACAAACCAAAAAACCCCACAAAAAAATAAAACCCAAACCACAAGGTGTTGGTTTGCTTAGTTTATGGGAAATGGCGTATCTGCTGTCTGCGACCTCAGGTACTTCAGCTGTCTGATACTAAGAGGAAGGCTGGAAGGAACCGGGCATATCCACAGCATTTCTCTCTCTTTGTCACCTTCCTCTCTTACACCAACCTCATTCTTATTGTGGGTTTTTTTAGTCTTTAAGCATGAGGAAATATTTCTAAGTATGCTTCCTAGAGATCTATCTCCTTAGAAAATTATTTTTACATCTAATTACTCTGAAATTAAAACATTATCTGATTTAAAATTTAAATAAAATGAACTTTAGAATATACTCATGACTCTTTTTGTCTAACTTTCAGTTCAAAAGGAAACAAATTCAAATTTCCTTGATTGACTCTTAAGTTTTCTGTGTGTGTATAATGGCTAAATAGAGGTAAGATAATCTCTCTACATAGAGTTAATAAAATATAAGTACTTTAAGACTGAAGGAAATGAACACTGCCTCTGCACAACTAAATATATTTTTTAGAGAGGAGAGACTGATGTCTGGAGTTGAAACAACAGCTTTAGAAAAATTCAGGCCAGGGAGAATGGATCTATTATAAAGACCCCTGAAATCAAAGAGAGGATTTGCTTTAACTCCTCTAGGCTTTGGCTCCAGCCCCAAGTAATTATTCAGGTTGGACTTTGGCCACTGATACTAACACCATCTGCTTACACAAAAATGCCACAAAACCTTTAATTAAAGAAAATAATGAAGGCCTCAGTTCTATGTCTTGCACATTTGAGAGTGCACTGTGGATGTGCACCTTGCTGAGGACCTCACTCCCTGCCATCTCATGGGAAACACAGTCATCTACTGTGTTGCCAGCACTACTGTTTACAAATAAAGCCAAGTTCCAAAGCCATTGACTTTCCAATTGAAGTTCATGTGCAAACGTATGGATCACGTTTTATTTTTACTGATGATGTTGGATAAAGGTACAGCAAATACAAGGAAAGAAAGAAGTAAAGGATTTTTGCTGTAAAAATAAAATTTTAAAAGAATAATATAAAGCACATAAAGGGAAAGGACAACATGATTTGTGTAAAATACCTACCAAGAAGGTATCATAGTCTTACAGTCAGGACTGGATTTCTCACTATTTTTCTATTTTCACCTTTTACAGAATGACTGAGGTAAAGCCTTTCTTTTTCTCAGTTTCTCCATCTGTGAAGTCGTATTAATGCCTATTGATCTGGTCAGAATTTGCCATCCTGAAATACTTTTGTGAGATGTTCAAAGGAAAGATAGTATATCGAACTGCAAACCCTTGGCATTGTTGCACACCATCTATGGCCTAGATAGTCCCACATGCTGTGCAAGGCCATTACTTACTTGCACATCACTGTTGTTAAGCACCAGTTTTGAAGCACAGGACAATTCTTTGAGCGTGAACAAGGCATAGTCCCTTTTGTACCTATAACTCACACTTTCAAGCCAAAATTGAAAAATATGTGTCTGTCACCAGACAATGAGTATGTCTGGTGGACTTAAATATTGTTTCTTTATTCTAAAGATTAATGAAGTGCTGGCCCAGACCCTGCACAGCACTTAAGGACATGTTTAACTTTAAGAATCTGAGTATACTGATGGATTTTCATGGGAATACTGATGTGGTTAAAGTATGTGGTGTTGGGATGAAGTCATATCCTTCAGTAGTGTGTGGAGTCCTGCTATTTTTGTTTGCAAAAGTGAAGGAACACTCTCAGAGTCCCTCCTGCAGGGAATCTCCTGATTGTTCAAGACTGGGATGCTCAACATTTTGCACTCTTGATTTCTCAGCCCAGACTGTGGTCTGTCTGCAATACACACTATCAAGATCTGCATTAGAACTGGCATTCTAATATTACCTGTTTTGCTGTTCTGAGACAAAAATGAATACTATAAATCATGGCTTTAAACTTCTGACTTCACTAGCACTGATTTTTCTTTTTCCTACTAATTGTATTTAGCAACCTTTATGCATGTAGATATGAAAATAATTAAATAATTCCCTTCAAAAAAACCCCAAAACTTAAGCAAGCAGCTTCCTTGCCTCGAGCTCTTAGGCTGCTCAAAAGGCATTACTTCACAGAGGAAAAACACAAGCTTTCTCCTTCCAGGGTCTGTGTTGCTGTGTTAGTTGAGCACCTGTGTCAGAGCACAGCACTGAACAAGTTTTCCACCTCCATGTGCCATCTCTGGGGCATTCTTTGGTAACCTCCCAGATACAGATTGAGTCAGAGGCAATAACTGCAGCAGCACAGACCTCTGCACTCTGAAGGAACGTAGTATGTTCACCTAGTAGATAGGATGCTCTGTGGAGTTATTTGCATCATGAGGTACTTGTGGTTCCTATTCTACCATCTATCTGAAAGTTTCATGTAGTTCTTTAATAGAACCTACCAAATAACCAAACAGTAGAGTGTTCATAAGTGGGCTTCCTTGACACAGAAATGCTTAAGACTATTGTTGTAACTGAAATTATCTTGGCTTTTTTTCTGTTTTGCAGTTTTACTAAAGAATGCAAAAAAGGAAGAAGAAAAGCCTTTCAGAGACTGTGCAGATGTATACCAATCTGGTTTTAACAAAAGTGGGGTCTACACTATTTATATTAACAATGTGTCAGATCCTAAAAAGGTAAATACTTGGTTTGTTTATTTTCTTGTTTGTTAATATGATGTTGCTCCAGACTTAAAGGAGCATTTGTAGCCTTTATTGAAGTTCTCACTCTGCAAAATATTGTATTAGTATAAATAACTTGGGTTATATTCAGTCTTAAAAATATATGATAGACTGAGAAAATGATTAACTGTATTATTCCAGACATTCTTCTTTCCCGCTGACAGAGAATCCTTCCTAAGTTCCAAGGTACACTCCATAGTGGACTCACTTCCTCCCACTTGGCAAGTTCAGTTGAATCAGATTATAGCTACAAATAAATCAATGATAAAGTTTAGAAAAGAGTTAGTAAAGTGCAATAATGAGGAAGCTGATGGGGGGGATTATATGGTAGCACAGGGAAAGAACTATCAGAATGAGTACTCTTTAAAGATAAGGATTTTAAAAATTCCTGTTTCTCTTGTAGGGAGCAGAGAAGAGTCATTTTGGCTGTAAAGAACACAATATAATGAATATAAGCTCTGCTTGAAATGATGAAGCATTTATAATCCTGTCCTTCTCAAAACAGAGAGCCTTGATGAAGGGGGTGGAGGGTGGGAGGGGTGCAGGGGAGGTATGAAAATGAAGCAACAGTCTGTGAAGGAGATTAGGTTTTCTGGAAGGCTTTTGTTGCTAAAGTGCCTGAGTAAGTAGAAACTAGGAACATGAGAGAATAACCTAAGCCTAACTTACCTGTGGAACAATGTTGGCTGTCCCTCTGACAGGGCACTATTGGGAGCAGCTGCCAAAACTAAGGGCTGATTACCTGGGACAGGGAAATATGGTGGTGTCCATAAAGTGAGGCAAACAGGAGGGAGGGAACCACATCCAAGTGGCGAATTTATTCATGCTGCAGTAAAATGGTGACCCTGCAAACAGAAAAAGACTGTAAAAGACTGTACTGTTTTATAGTAATTTTATTATCATATTAAGATATGCAAAACTTATTTCTAAACTAAATTTAGTATTATTAGAGTCCTTTGAAATCCTGTAAATGTCAAGATGCTATAGTTTACCAAGGAATTAGAGTTCACTAAACCACAACTAGAACTGGGATGAGAGCATTCTGCAGGCCAAGATCAATATAATTCTTGTGAATATGAATAGGAAAATAATTGACATGACATAAAATACAAAGATGCCTTTAAACATTATGAGGTACGACAAGAACAATAAATCAGTTCTGTAAGAGCTATAAAGAGATATAATAAATTGCATGTACCAATTGACAGTAGCTTTTCTTAGCCTTACGGAAATTCATAAACCTTGCCCAGAAGCTGAGCTGCCATTAAAAACAATGGTTATCTGAAAGTACTGTGGCACAGATGCTTGTGGTCTATCACCTTAAACCTACTTTGCTGGTAATACAAGGCCAGTGACACAACGGAAGCCACTCTGTGTTTCTGCTATATCCCTGTTTGCTGAGGCTGCTATCAAGCAATACAGATACCAGAACCCAGCTGATACCATTGCATTATGTTTTCCTGCAGGGTTCCTGTTTTAGCAAGAAAATGTGGGAGTGTGTCTCTCTGTGTGTTGAGGGCACTTCTGCAGCACCTATTTCTGTCTTGCCCTAGTGATAACATAGCATGAGTTGATCCCAGACATGTTCGTGTTAGTCAAGTGAGGAGTGTGATTGCTTTAACAGATGTTTTTTCAGACATTAAAGTCATTTTAGCAATCTGCAAGGTAGTGCTGTGCAGATAGCTGAACTAACTCCAGCTGAGATAGCCTCAAAATCAATGCAGCATGGTGCATTGATTAGCCCAGAGGTAGCACCGTGTTGACACAGGTGGATTGCTCTAATATCCTGATAGGTACTCCATGAAGACAAACTTGCTTATTTAAAGCCATCTTAGTTATCTGGATTACCACAATGCAATGCACAACTCTGACATGTCTTAAGTGGCCTAATATATTGTTACATTCTGTAATACAGCCACTGGCAACTATCTCATTCAGAGTATTTTTATGCATCAGGTCACAAAAATATACCTCCATTTCATTTTATATTTCCTAAGGGAAATGATAATCCTGATATTCAATAGGCAATATCTTTTTCATATGTACAAATGATACTGTCAGTTGTAGCATTTTGTTGGTTTTACATTCATATATTCATATAAAATTATCCTGCATGCTTACAGCTCCATACCATTTATATGCCTCATTTTCATATGCTTAGAAATTTAGGCTGCAATTTTTGTTTCATGTTCCTAGCTTCAACAGTTCATCAGTTTAGTTCAGTAGTCTTCCAGCCTTAAAGTTAGTGATTAATTTCTGTTAAAAGGATCTTAATAATATTCCATATTTTTGATATGGGAAGAGAAAAAGATAGGATTCAACTACTAAACTAATTAACTGGTTTACTTTGCTGTGTATGTGTGCAATGCCTGATAGTGTGGACAATGGTTGTCCCAAGGCCATAGTGAGAGCAAACACAAGAAGTGTCCTCTCAGTCCTTTGCAAAGGTGGGGTCAGCTACAGGGGAAACAGAAGCTTCTGATGAAGAAGAGGAGCATTGGGAGTGAAGTTGTCACCATTTGGTAGTTGAAAGAACCTTGTCACATTTGGGAGCAGAAGTAAGCCAGGGGTGACTGGCCTGATTGCATGCAGAACCTTGGATCAATGTATTGACTCTCTCATGTCTCCTCTAATGCCCTCACAAGCATGACTTTTACCAACTGCTGGATGCACTGCACTGAAAATGTGATGCTATCAATTGCTAGTTGAGTGTATATCTCGGTCTTTATGGCTCTGCAAAGGCAATAGCCACCATTGCCATGAGTGCAGCCTTCACTTCTTTCCCTCTACTTTCTGCCTGTGGCATTCCTACCAAATTGGTATCAATCATGTCTCTGAGTATATCTGCCAGTTTTAACCCACTAAATGTATGCTACCCCAGATATTGTGGAAACTGTCATCCCAACTTGGTTACCATCAGTCTCAGTTTCTGCATAGCAGGGATGCATTCCCTGAATCTCAAATGGCTGGTCCCAAGTTTGCTGCTCCATGTCAACAACGTAGACTTGTGCAATTTATGGCAATTCCTCACCTTCTTTCTCTTTGCTTTAAAGTTGAGCTTATCTCTAAATGTTTATTACAAAGTTTTTAATAATTTAGGCCCTAAAGCCAAAATAAGTAGAAATAATCCCATATTTGCCTTTCAGGAGCTTGCAAATTTTTACCCATGCATTTAAGGAAGGACAAGAGTGCAAGATTTTGGATGCTCTTTTAATCTAAATCAGGTTATTTCATTAATAATAAACTGAAAACCCAGAGATGCAAACAAATTCAAAGTCACTTTTCTTCATCCTTTGCATTTCTAGTAGAGGATTAAGTATCAGGGCATGTTAAATAGTGTTTAAAGGCTGAGTGCCTTGACCTTGTCTGGCACAGACAAGGCTAGAGCTATGCACAGTGAATATCTATAATCAGCTTGGCAGTCCTGTTATTAAGGCAGGTGTTTGCATCTACTGCCATGGAAAGTGTCAGACCACACAATGATGGTGAGTGAAAAATGTGCTGCTGGCAAACCTTTCTTTCAGTGTGCAGTCTTCTCTTTCAATTTGCTATATTATACAGAAAACTTCAAAGCCTTTTTATAGGTATTTTATTGTATTTCAGTATGAAAACCCCATTATTTGTGTGCATCTCTAAAATAAGTAGTCTTAATACAATTGAGGATTTAATGCTTTAAAATTTGGCAGTGGATTCATGGGAGGTTGAAATGACTTATAAGGAAAGCAAATCCATCATTCAGAAATTCTCACTGTAAATCAGACTCAAGAAATTAAATCCTGTAGATAAATGTTTTGACTCACAGTGTCTTCCCTGAAGAAGGAATAGGGCCAAAATGTTTGTCTAGAAAATTGTGGGTTTTCTTGTGGTTAGCCTAAATCAAGATCACATGTTTGCACTGTTTGGTATTATGTTTCTTTCCTGTACCTTCACAGGGACTTCATTTGGCATGCCTGGTGCAAATTAAAACAAAAACACTTGCATAGTGTTACTATGAAAATGCTTATGAGTAGGAGAAATTTGGAATGGCTTTGCCTGAGGGTAGAATACAGTTCTCTAGTCAACTGAGAGACAAATTTTTATTTAAGTGAATTGGATAGTAACCACCAATTGGCAAATAAATTTAAAGCTTTAATTTGCCAACCAGTGTTGAAAAGATTGACTCTTGCTGATGTGAATGCCAAAAGCTAAGCTGATGGGTGACACCTCTTCAACTCATTTACATACTGACATCTTACTTAAAAAGAGAGCTACAGCTATTTGAGAGCACAGATGAAATTTGGAATAGTTGCAGTCTTGACATGACATGGATGAGTACATGGGAGCGAATATCAGGAAAATTTGCTTGAATGAGTAGCACTGAGAAACTTAGATCTTAAAATCAAGTATCCTACAAACTCAGAAACAAAAATCAGTATCACTTCCCACATACCAAGAAAAGCAACTGCATAAGCAGTATTTGCATTTGTCATAATTTTCTTCTACATTTTTGAAAGGATAATGTAAAAAGAATGAAAGTGAATGAAAAATAAATAAATATCTATTTTTATTATTCTATGGATTATTTAGCATTGTTAACAGATTTCAGTTGACACAATATTCTAATATCAACATTCAGCAAAATTGTCGAATTGTTGCATTATCCTTAACATGCAGTATCTTAGTATCTAACTTATAATGTTATTAATGCAATGGTGGCAGGGCATGATCTTATATGTTCAGTATAGATCTTGACTTCTGAACTTGTTCCACAGACCTCTGTTCTTGAGCTTGTTTCTATCTAAGTTCTCTGTCAGCTGTAAGGCTGCTTAGGCTGAGATCAGCCATTCCCTTTTTGAGATACTGCCTTGTGCACTGTAGGTAACATTAAATTAAAACAATAATCTCACCTGTGCTACATTTCAGATGCCTTGGATGAGTGTTTTCTGTAAGAATTCTGAAAATTCTTTCTTAGACTGAATGACAATCTGCTAAAAGCTATAGAAAATGTTATCACTGAAAGAATTACTCCTGTTTGTTAATAGGAAGGGAGTAGTTTCAGGGGTACTGCAGGGAATTAAAACAGGAACATGGAGGGAATGTGAAAGGGAAAGCTGAGGATGCAGAGGGATTCCCCTGGGGAGATGTTCTTGGGTAATGTGCTGAAAAGAAACATTACTGGGAGAGTTACACTAAAGATATGGAGAGCACCAGTTGTAACTGGTATGGATCCATAGGAAAACACAATTTCTTGATTTTGCTATTCACAAATATTTTTTCCCCCCTAGGATGACAGGATTTCGAAGCAAGCTTGTTTTATCATTTGTTTGGGGTTTTAATTTTTTTAAATTTATTTACTGCATAGGTCTTTTGCAATATGGAAATTGCTGGGGGAGGATGGACAGTTATACAGCACAGAGAAGATGGGAGTCTGGATTTTCAGAAAAGCTGGAAAGAATACAAAATGGTAAGGCAAAAAAATGTGTAATAGCTGTACAATTCATGCAAGTGTCAGATTTCAAATACTACTTCCTATTATCTTACATAGGTAGTTTTGCCTACAGTGATGTGATGTGGCCCTGCACTCTTTTATGAGCTACCTTTCGTCATGTCTGTTACTTTTGAAAATCATAATATCCTTTTTACTCAGTTAGTTGAGTATTATTTCCCATGACGTAGAGTTTCTCAGATCAGTTACTGAGATTAAAGTGAGGTGAGGCCAAGCCAGAATGTTCCTGTCTGTCTATCTGAAGTTTTGACTTGCAGTGACGTTAAGGGCTAATAGGCATGTGATGATATTCCTAATAAATGGATGTTTTCAGCTGAGGGGAACTCCTTCAGAACTTGGAGCACCTCAGATAGGAACGAAAATTTTTACTGGAGTTTATCCCAAGTCATACAGTACCTCTGCCAATCAAGCTAATGTACTGGAAATGTTGATACTTCAAATAGGATTACAAGAAAATAAATAACCTACCAAATTACAGATGACATGGCTTCAGCAGGCTATTTTACCTTTGCCAACTCAAAAAAATTTACTCCAATCTAAACAACTTTGGATTTTTTCATTCATTGTCTGATCAACCTTCCTGATGGAGCTCCTTTCTCCTAGTCCCTGAGGACTGGCTTGGATTTCAGTGGCATTCCCAGTGAAGCTTTCAGAACAGTGTTATCAGCTTGATGGAGGGAAGGGGTTTTTTTTCTGCAGTTTTCAAAAAGCACTAAATGAGGAAGGCATTTTAAATGTTTAAAAATAAAAAAAAATCAGTTCAATAAAACTTCATATGGAAAAAAGTTCTGTTGAAGAGCTTGCAATTTCAGAAATAAACATAGTATCTTATTATAGAACCAAAATCTAATTTTGGATTTTATGGATATTTTCCTCTCAATATATGTATATTACTTGAAAATAGAAATGATAAATTATTAAAACTAATCCTTTGGGTCAGAACCCTGCTCCTGTGGATAACTAGAGAATGTAATCTATTTCATAATACCTGTGAACTAAAAGTCATTTTAAAATGTCAAATGGTATTTTTTAGTAGAATTGCAACATTGAAAAACTTTGTTAGAATGAATAAAATTTTAATTTAGCTGAAAAATTGAAAGCTGTTAAATCAGTTTTGGTTCAGAGTTGAACAAAATATAAAACATCAATTTATTTTGGGGGAATCAAAATTTGAATATTCTATCAGTTTTACTTTAGTGGAAATTAGAATTTGTGTATGCAACCTAAGTCATTCTCCACATATGGATGGTTTTAATTTATACATATCATAGGAATTATTGAGATTTTCTCAGTTTTGATCTCCTGTGCTTTTTCTTAGACAATATAATAAATACAACCCTTCTTTGTAAAGGTTATGTGGGCTTTTTCATATATATTCCTTCAGTTAATCAAACATTTTCCTCAAATTTTCCTTTACAATAATGTGAGACTGTTCAGGATTAGATTATGTTGGTTTAGTCTAGTTCAAGCAGTCCGAATTAATTTTGCTTCTCTTTAGGAATGATATCATATTCTAAGGGATTGTTTACTTCTACTGAATAAAAAGGATCTGCTTTGGACTTTTACTTATAGCTATCTTATAAGTCATGAAACAAGATGGGATTTAAGCTTGCTGTGCTTCTATGAGCTGTTTCACCAAAGTAACTGCCTTAGGTCCCCTTCTGTGCTTACCATATTACACCAAATGTTGAATGACAGAGGCTGGTGAATGCTCTGTGTATTACTGGAATATATGACAATGTCTCAGCTTCAAGGCAATAACACCACTGACTCAATTCCGTGGTTGTTCAGAGAGGGTGAATGGTGTCTATTGGACCAAATCCCCTCTCCTTCCTGTCACATCTACCTGGTCTTTCTTCCAATGGAAACTGAGTAGTGTGGTGGAGGACACAACGGTACTTGGTCTTACTTGGAGTGGTTGTACTTAACATATGTTCTCTCAGCCCATAGTTCAGATACAGCTTTCCAGATTTGTTGAGATATTCTTGTTCTGCTTGTATCTCTTTAGGCTCCTAAATCTGACAGAAACAATATCATAATAGTGTAATAGCAATAATAAGTCTCTGGGGCTTCTTTTATTTTCAGTACATTTAGTTCTGATTAGAAAAGATTCTGGAAAACCATTGAAGCTTGTAAGTTACAAGCAAGTACTGATTGCCAGCTTCTGACCTGGACAGGAATTCAGGCCACCAACCTGCAGTACTGCTAGAGACCCTCACAAGTTATTGGCTGTTCCAGTTTTATTAGGCCATTGCACAAATTCTCTGACTCTTAGCTGAGATCCTTACAGCAGCTTGCTTGGAAAGGGTGCACGTGGAGTAAGCTCTGCAAAGGCTATTGACAGGACTGCTACGTTACAGAAGTCATCTGGCAACAATGAGGTAGTCATTGTCTTTGATGCAGTTTCATGCTAGTGACTTCTGCTTACACCGAAGTACTTCAATTCCTATTCCAGACACAAACACAGGAAATAGTTTAAGTGAGAGATAAAGTAGCCATAAATCTTTTGAAAGGAGAAAATATACAAGACTATTCACATGTAAATTGTCACAAAGTCAGTGATATTATAGCAATAGTGGTACTAATTTTCCCTCCTTGTTCTTTTGGCTCCATTTCCACTGCCATTCAATCTCAACAGTGGAAAAGAAAGCTGCACTTCCTTTGGTATCTAAAAGAATAGCTAATGAGTACAAAACCTTTTCTGTCATTTTACTGTCATGCAAGATTGGTTATGTCATCTTGTTTAGTGTTATATGTGCTTACAAGTATCCTTTACTTGTGTTATTAGTCTTATATCGTGCAGTACAATTTGTGCCTTTGCTTCTAAGAACTAATTTTGACTGTGAGTTTTTTATGTTTGACAGTAATTGGTATAAATTCAGAGGAAACCCTGTAAGTTCATTCTACTATTAGTATCTATTACATAAGTTCTTTCACATTTTGCAATGCATTTTTAGCTATGCTGTTTGATATCAGAAAAATCTGAAGTGTAACAATGAATGATTTCTTTAACAGCAGGTAAGATCACCCTGAAGCAAATTTTAATCATTTTTCAAATTTCCTTGCCTGAGGAGGAAATGTAAAACACTATTAAGGGTTTTGATCTCTAGAGGAGAATATAATTTAAAAAAAATATTGCTTGCCTTCTGCAAACCTGAGCCCCTTTTGCAAGGGTGTTTTCCACAAGGGTACTTTCTAAGACAGTTTCTGGTATTTATTAGGTAGTCATTAGCAATAATCGAATCCAAGTACATTATAAACTCATGTGCTAACTTGGCTATGAAGATTTCTTGATCAATTTCCTGTTTTCAGCTCTTGGATGAATGCACATTTCCCAGTGACTGTCTCCATTTTTGCCAAATTAGGCGATGGAGTATTGGATTCTCTATTCTCTAGCCTTTTAGCATGTCTAGTTTAATAATTCCCATGAACTTCACAGAATTTATTCTACTCTTCATAGTCCAACATTCACTATCGGTTTCCTAGGGGTTTCTTAGGGGTCAAGTCTATTTGGAGTTTCCTCAGACCTCTAAAATAATTTTCTTGCTTTCTGTCATTGGAGTAAAACTCTCAATAGGTATTTGAAATTGCGTGCCTTGGCCAGCCCACAACAATCTTTTTCCTAGCCAGAATTTTTTTCCCCTGCCTGTCAGTATTTAATTGTACTGTATGCCTTAATTGCTACAGCATTGCTCTTTTCCTTTCACTGATGAAAGAAAGCTATCACTTTTTTAATCGTTCATAATGTCATGAGCTAAATTAGGATCACTTGTACATATTAGATTAAGAGCTAAATTTCTAAGGTTTATGGCAGCCACTTCCTACCTTCCTGATCAGCAGATGTTTTTTCTTTTGGTTTCTTTGAGGCAAGAATGATGTTCAGTGGTAAATTCCACATTCCCATGTTCCTGATTAACATCTAGGAGTCCAACAGTTGTTCAGTGCTTAAAACAAGTGTGCTGCCAGATTATTTCAGATGTCACCAGTAGCGTTTTTGTCTGCCTGAAGAGCATATCTACAGAATCACTCCCATTTCTGTTAGGGTTTCTACTTTTTCTTTAATTCTGAAGGCTGTTGGGTGAAATTGAATGCTATCTCTATGGTGCCAGTATGGTATGATACCAGAGAAGGATAATTTGTACTCTTCTATGGCTTAAATTCTGAGAGCCAGACCACAGAGATAGAAGAACCTTCTCAGGAAGAATTTCTGGATGCAATTCTAGTGGGCATTTATGGTATGCTATCTGGAATAATCTGATTTTCCTCTGAGCCTCAGTAAATTTTAGCTAGCAAAATAAGTCTGGTGATCCATGTCTTCTGTTTTCCTTCAAGATGGCTAAACACGTCTTTGGACTGTAAGTGTCTGATTTACTTCTAAGCATGATACCCTTTTTTGCATACTTCCTGCAGTTCACTTCTGTGAGTAAGGTCTAGTTTGGACATGGGTTCCACCAATTTCCTGGAAGACCTTCTTGTTTGTGACAGTCAGGTTGCTTGGTCACTCCATGTGTACATCTCACTAGTCCTTGCAAGTCCTACATGCCTGAATGAAGCATAATAAGGCCTACTATTCCAACAAAGATTTTTTTTCTTAGTGCCACCATTCAGCTCATTCTGAAAAATTCTGGATGCTACTTACATTTAATTTTTATTTGCAAAGTGTTCAGCTCCTGTTTTAGAATGTGATCTCCTAATTCCTTTTATGGTCTTCATCTGGTGCAAATCATATTTTAATTTATCTTGTGAAAGTTTCACTTCCACTTTTCAGCTTTGTTAACAATCTCACTGCTCCCCTTCCTTGTCTTTATACTCTTCCTTCTCGTTTTTTTTTCTCCATATTGCTTCATTAGCAATACTAACTCTCATTCTAAATAGGTCTTCACCAAAGTTACTGTTGTGTTTGACTTGAATAAAGAGAGAAAACCTCTGTTTTAGTGTTGTTTAGCTGTTTAGCTGTT